CATCCATCCATCCATCCATCCATCCATCCATCCATCCATCCATCCATCCATCCATCCATCCATCCATCCATCCATCCATCCATCCCTCCCTTTGTGCATCTATCCATGCATAGGTCTGAAAAAGTATGTAATTTTAAAAAGAGGAATCAGCAGGAACTGCTTTGGTGGTGGTAAACATAATAGTCATATCTGGCAAACTGCTATTTTTGGTGGGAGTTGTTTTTTCTGCTTATTATTATTATTTTTTTTTTTGATTCTGTGAAATAAATAGGGGAAATACTCCTCCAAAAATCCAAATTACATCTATCTATTTTAGACCAAATACTAGGGCTGTGACACTTTTTTCAGCAGTCAGAGTCTAAAGAAAAGCTGAAAGATCTAGAAAAATATTCACCACGATGAAAGATTTTTCTGGAAACAAAATGTAAAGGGATAGTTTAAGGTTCTACACATTTCTGAATGTGATCGTGAACTCCTTATTTAGCTGAAGTTGTTTCAGGGCAACCAGGTTTTATGCAAGTCACTGCAAAAATGCTACAGTGGATTTACTTTGTTATTATAAAAGGCCTGATTCATCTGCTCCAAAGTTATTAAAGAAAGAAGGAAAGTGGTGAATTTGATCTTGGTTCCCTTTAAAATGGAGCAATAAACTCAGTGTCATTATTATTAGTAGATTCAATGTACACATCATCCTGATGACAAAAGGGAGGGAGGAGGTGTGTTATCAGTTGTCTATCAACCTATGCTGATCACAGAGAAACAGCCATTCAGCTAAAAGCTAGAGATAACTAACTCTCTGTTTTCTTTGACATTTTGTGTAAAGTGTTTATACACAATTCTTTTGAAATGAAGTGATTTCAATCCTGAATGTCACTAGATCTCAACATCCCAGTAGAAAGCTAGCCACACACATCTTCAGGAAAAGGTTGAAAATGTTTCATTTCACCTTTTTAATTCTGGCCATGTCAACAAATGTCCTCCACCATCTAAGCCCTTGATATGAACAAGACGAAATTGGAAGTTGTGGCATTTATTGATCTCTTCTTTATTCCTCTGTTTAAGCCAGTCACTGACAATTTGTGCGTTTTAATGGCTCAACCTTTCCTTTCATACCGCAGGATATAGGTCACCAGTCAGAAGTGTTTGCATGTTTGTTGACGTGGCCCAAATAAATTGGTAACATTGGGATCAGTCTCCCTAGTCCCAAAGAATCGCTCCATTCTAATGGGTAAAAAAAAAGACCAAAAGCTCAAATATCTGATGCATTTTTTTTTGGTTTGTTTTTCTAAATCTGTAAATGTAATCAAAAGGCTTCATAAATTCTGCCACTGTAAAAAAAATTAATTAATACTTTATTAATGGGTTAAATAAGCACCTTTTTGCCACATTACTACATGAATTCATAAATTATAGGTTTAATTTTAGGAGAGATTCTCCTTTGCAGCTTAGTTATACCCTATGACCGAACTCTACTTGCCGCCATTGCCCCCTTCCTTTTCTCATATGTGTCTGGAGGGGGAGACAACAAGCCCTCGAGGGCTTCTAAACCCTTCCAGGCCAGAAGGGATCAATGGTTTTGGGGTCTACTTCTATAGTCAGAAAATCCTCAAGGGAAGCATCCTGACCAGAAACCAGAAAGCTACCTCAGCTAAATATATCTTATGAAATAGTGGAGAGCAAGAGCAGCAGTTAGTGGGGAAGATAAGTATGTGAGCAGGAATATTCCTAATGGGCCTATTGACATGAAATTCACACCAGTATGTCAGTAACCAGCCCCCAAAAAATCAATACCTGCAAAGAAATCAACTCAAATTAGTCCATAAATCAGGTGATGTGCAGTAACGAGGAATAATATTTGCAGGACGGATTGAGAAACCTCACTGAAATGTATTTAATACTTAGCAGAAATGTTTTTTTTTTTTTTTTTATATCTTATGTGGAAAAGTTGGTCCTATTCTTTGCTTACATAGCCAAAGCAGTTTGTTTTTAGCTGTTTAAATATATGGGAGCCTTTACTGGGAACTGTGATCTCTAGTTCTTTAATGGCTTTATGAATTTGATAATTTGGGAAATCCTTGTTTCATTGTCTGGTTCTTATAGTGCAGCTGTACATCTCACTCTTCCTTGAGGAATATTAGCTCATCCGGTGTCAAAAGGTGAAAAATAGCTACACATTATGAATTGCCCACCTCCAAACCTTTGTGTCAGTATTTAGTTTTTTGGACAACAGGCAGTGTTATTCCTCCTCAATGCAAGGTTTGTTCAATGATTTAAGGGGCTTTTTATTCAGCAGTGGAGTCTTGGTGAGTTTATAAAGGCCGTGGTAGTTGAGTACACAGAAAAATGGAACATGTTAAATCCCTCATCTTTCTGAGTGTCTGTTGTCCTCTGCCATAGAAAACATCTCCTGATTATTCTTTAGACTTTTTCAGGGCTCTTTATGGAATTCTGCTTTTTTAGATTATGGCCCTCCAGGGGACCGTCAGAAGGTTAGAGATACGTCAGTGTTTTTGCAACGATATCTTGTGAAGGTCTTGGGAGAGCTCTTTGGGGTGAGATACCTCAGCAATGAGTAACCTTAGCATACACCATCAATAAGGGTTGAAGTAGCGGATATTAGTTAGCACAGAGTGGGTAGAAGGGAGGCAGAATTTGATTTAAAGATAAGAGATTTTTTTAGGCTTTTGTTACCTTTGTCTATTGTAAACAATTTAATCATTGGAATTAAAAGTTCTGATTCATGTCTAAACTTGAGTTGGTTCAGGTGTCTGGTATGAATAAATGTCCTTCAGAAATACGTCTATTAACGCTTTCTTAAAGGTATTGTGGAGGATTTTCACCATTTTTTTTAGAAAGACCTGCCCTCTCCACTTAAAAAAAAAAGCCTATGGAGTCCATTTCTCCTTGTGCACACTCTGTATAAAAGTTTCTGTTTGCATCGCTCACACAAGCTTACTTTCAAAGAAGATTTGCAATTTTTCCACTTTGTCAGACTCGCCACCGGTAAGTGAAAATGGGGACGAGTACGTAGGACGGCCTTACGTAAATATATCACCAGAATGATTGACAGTTAGGAGGGCTACTTATTTTAATGATCCACCTAGAAAAAGAACATCCTCCACAAAACCCTTAACTTACTTTCCCAGTAGTTTGACTTTTTTTTTTTTCAAATAATCTTTCAATTTTCTCCTTACCCAAAAATTATAAATCTTTTTTATGAGCTGTAAATAATCTCAAAAGGGAAACATTACCTGGACTAAAATCTCCAGTATAAAATTTACTGCAAAAAAAAAACAAAAAAAAACAACCATTCAAGCACAGTGTGGACGAGTACAGCAGAGCTTCTCCTCATACAGATGTTCATTGTTGGCTCTTTGGTACAGAAGGAAAAGAAAAATGAGACCTCACCTCCCTGTGTTAAACCTTTCTAACGTGTAATGACAGAAAATGTGTACTGAAAGGTCACAGCGCAGATTTTGGTATCTAATTATCCAGTTCGTCCAAAGAACCATACAATTGAACTTGGATATTAATGGATATTTAACAAGAAGTAGAAATAAGTCTAAAAATATATTTGTCAGAGGAGAGAGGATTTTAAACAACAGCAAACCGAGAGAGGTTAGGCAGTTAAGCCTCCATTATACAACAGAGAATACTCACTAGGCTTCAACATCTCTACGATACACTTTACAGTGTGGCAGTGCTGCTCACAGTGTTGACTCTGAAAACGCACTCCCACAAATCACAACAATGCATTTCAAGTTGCTCCCAGCCAGATATAATGCACGAACAGACGAGCGTGCCAAACGCATTTCCACAGCTCCACGTTCTGCCCGCTGCTGGGAGGTGATACCACTTCAGTCTACTTGAGTTTCTGAAATTTGTGTGAGCACACATACGGTATTTGCATGCATGCATTTTAGAAGTGATTCTCTACAGTTCATGGGAAATAAAAGGGGGTCCCAAGGGTGTTGCTGTGGGTTCCAGGCTGACCTGGGAGAGAGTGTGGCTTTGGGAGCGAGTTAGTGTGTGAAAATGAGCAGGAGGAGCTTTCCCCTGGCTCTGTCCCTCGTCCTGCTCCAAGTTCTGCCTTGGCATGGTGGAGGCTTCTGGTTCTGCTCCAGCTATGGTCCCAGCTCCTGTGGCACTGCGCTCCTGTTTGTGTCTCTCCCAGGCTGAGCTCAGCTTTACAGCCAAAGCCAGCACGTTTTTCCCCAGAAACACAGTCGAAACGCGGGAGTCTCTGTACCACAGCATGCCTGTTCCCCTAAGAGCCAGGGTGAAGATGTTAATGGTGATCAAGCTGAGCCAGGGGTACAGAGCCTCCCTACGGGGCCCCCTCTGTCCTGGCAGGCTGGTGGCCCCCAGCTCTGTTAGGGCCACACAGGGCAGCAGCAGCAAGAGCGCGTAGCAGTAGAAGAACACCAGGCCCTCTGCCCAGATTGGTAACCTCTGCTCAACAACTCCTCCAGACCCAGCCTGGGCTTCCCACAGCCCCGCCTGCAGGTCCAGCACATCCAGGAGGTCCACAACAACCCACAGCAGCCGGCTCCGCACCTCCTGCTTCCGGCGCTGTGGAGTCATGTGATCAGCTCCAGTCAGTATAAGAAACAGTGAGGGCAGGCAGATGGACAGCAGCAACGTCAGGGTCTTCCTGGCCAGCGGGTCGGGCGGCCGCCGCTCCTGCCTGTAGTTGTGGCAGACGAAGAAGAGCTTCAACTGCAGCATAGACAGGAACAGGAACCAGAGGGCGTTGGCAAAACCGCGGCGTGACGACTGGGCCTCAGAAACCACGCCTGCTGATACAAAGCGCAGGGCAAGCAGGAAGCAGACGTCGCCTAGCAGCACCGCCGCATACTGCCACACGCTGGGTCCAGACGCACCCCGGGATCCCAGCATGCTCTGCTCCAGCAGATAGAGGTCCACCACCGCCATCGTGCTCACCGTGACCAGGGTTGATACGCACACCTGGGGCGTGGGCACCATGCCTGGAACAGAGACATATATTAACATCTTTTTCTGCACCGAGCCATCTGTGCTCCAGTAAAAAGTAACAAATGTGCAGGAATACACCACGCTTATTTTTCCTACATTATTTCCCAACCAACTGTAAAGTACTTTGATGCCTGTTGCTATGGTTAAAGACATTAGCTGCAGAGGAAGCAGAAAGCCCCCTTCATCTTCGGCCAGAGCTACACACCCTGGCGATTCAAGCTGGGAAGCCTATTAAACTGTTTATTTTCCATCTTTCCTCCACAGTTCTTTGAATTAAATATCCCTCATTTCCCATAAAGAAGCCAAGATTGCTTCTTTTTGATTCAGACCTTTTTTTCCATAAGTTTTCGTTTGTTCCTTCTGTTACTTTTCCAATGCTTCGCTCATTCATTATTAATTAATCGCATTCAGGGGGAGCTAGGTGCCCTGTCAAAGCTCTTTCTTTGCCTCTATAGTCTACTGTGTTTATTCTCATACCTCGCTGCAGCCTTTAATCATCCCAAATCCCCATCTAGCTTCAAATGAATATTGATAACTTGCTATTTGTTTGGAGACGCGCTGTCTCGTGGCTTTGTGTACACTGCTGTGGCGGCTGCACAGAGACAATGCCATTGCGGCTGAGCTGGGAGGGTTCATCGTATAATTTTGCCACAGCTCATAATGTGCATCAACCACGGACGGCATAAAAAACGGCATCGATCCTCAGGAGTGAGAAATGATCATTGACTTTAGAGAAGAATCGAACTGCGGTCTCCATCTCCCTCTGTTGTGTTTTTTGTGTGAAAAACGCAGCAGCACTGTCTGTTTTCCCTGTTCGGTGTCAACTCCTCAGAAGATCGATCACATTGTAATATAAAATCGTTACCAGTTTCGGACGCGCCTTAATAGTTGATCGAGCTAGAGATTGTCACCGTGACTCCGACCTCTGAGAAAAGTGTGCCAGTGAAAAACCTGTATTGATATCACACTGATTACGGACACATCGCCTCCCTATTTCAGGAGGCTCCGTCTCCTCCTCTATCCTGTCTGAGTCATTAGAGACGACAGAGGGTCTCCCTACTGGGAAGAGCAACCACGGGTTGTAGACATTGGTGCATGTGTGGATTAGGAAAGCTGTAAGTGAGAGATTAATAGGCCTTCTGGGCTGTCTGCATGGCTAATAAAGTGTTACTGCATGATGGTGATAGTTCATAAATAAGCTCAGGGGAAAAGGAGGTGATGAAGAAGTGAAAGTGACTTTCATCCACTCAAGCAAGCCTGGCCTAAATTAATTCAAATTCATATTTGGGAGCCTGCATTATATGAGCTTCTCATGTTTTGATAACCATTAACATGGTTTCAGGTTATCACATCATTAATGTGATGATTATCAAACAAAAGTGCATAACATGATGTAAATATTGTAATTCCAAGGAGAAAATAATTCATTACTGCTAAAGCTGTTAAAATCATATGGCAAAATGCATTAATAATTATAATATCCTATGTGTATTGATAGAGATGGCCTAAAACCCCTTTTTAGTTTTCTTTTGATAATTGAATAACGGAAAACCTTTTTTTAATCACTGTGTAGTGAAAGGAGGAAATCTGGAAATATGCTGTTATAAAGACATGAAAATAAAGTCATTTATATTGCATTAGAGGCTTTCTGGGTAGTTTAATTTAAAAAAATAGCGGTCTAACCTGTTGATATGGCCTTTTTTTTGTTGTTCTAAGTTAAAATAGATGGAAGATTAAAAACAAAATGTGGGTATTATGGTAAAATCATGCCAGAATATCCGTTACAGCCCAGTCAGTTCGATAAGTTTACCAAACAGATACAGAAGACCTGCCACTTGCCCCTGTTAAATGTGACACCCCACCCAATATGGGGAGGATCTCCAGCTGTTACCGACTTTGCTGTTAGAAAGAAAGGAGAACCGAACCTAAACTTTAGGTCTAAATGTGCATCTTCTCACTGCTCGCTTTGTGCTTAAAAGAAAATGTTCCTGATGCTGCACAGGATGAACTTTAAGCCCTGCCCCAAAATGTTTTTCCCCATGAGAATCCCTCATTTTGAGCTTGAGCTCGTCCACAATCCTCCGTAGCACCATTTCACGAATCATTCAATCATATCTTATCATTCACAGATAAAAACTTACAGAAGCAGAATGTAACACACAACTATGAATAAAAAATTGGAAAAATATCCGTCTAACAGAACTACAGCTTGTCTAGAATCGTAATCTGGCGTGAGAAGGTCTGCAGAGCTCGCCACTTGGAGTAAGATTTTCTGACATTTTCATTTTGTTTCTTTTTTTTGGACGCTTATGCTTCAGGTCCCTCCTCTCTTCATCTGATTTTTTTTTTCCTTTTAGACCAACGGTTCTCAATCTTTTTTTGGCCCAGCTCCATCCTACCCATTATCTAACCCCCCAGCGCCTCCTGTCAAATAATATGTAGCCTACTTGCACTGAATATTGTTTTATTACTATTATTAATAATATATCAAATACTACTAATAATAAGATGGCTATGAATATTATGCTTGTCATTGTTGTTCCTATGTTTATAATTGCTGTTTCTGTATTTATCATCACAAAATTCAATGAAACACATCGCTTAATTTTTTTTCTTTTGTGAATTTTTGAAAAGACCCGCCCTCTCCACCTATTAAACGCCTATTTAACGTGTGCAAGAGCGTGTAGGAGCCTATTTCTCCTCATGTACGCCCTCATGCATCGCTCATACAAGCTTACATTCCAAAAGATTTGCAATTTTTCCACCATGTCAGCCTCACCACCAGCAAGTCAAAATGGGCCGAGCACATAGGACGGCTTTACGTAGACATATGACCAGATTGATTGACAATTAGGAGGACCACTTATTTTGATGATCCACCCGGAAAAAGAACATGCTCCACTTTACCTTTAAATACAAGTATTTATTTGTTTCACAGGAGAATGAAATGTGCTCACAAAACAAGATAGATTAAAAAAAGGAAAATCTGTTGTAAACGGTTGAACTAAAAATAAAACTTCCAAACTAAGTCTCCTAAGGTGAAATGATTTAGTTACATATGTGATAAAGGAACTTTCTCTACGTTTGTCCTTTGCTACTATTTTGTTAAAATGAATTATTTTTGTGATAGGGCTTAATTTGATTGAGTGTTATTAAAATTGACAAAAAAACAAAACTTTTTTTAAGGTTGAACCTTGTGGCGAACCAAGCTGCACTAAAGTTTAACTAAAGCTAAAGATTGAGTGCTTTTTGACTGACATGCTGCTCATAGCTTTTGGTCTAAAAATGTAATATTCATTAGCTAGGTGACTCTCCAGTAGGCACTTTGTCCTTACCTGGAATATTTCCAATTTGTTAAAGCCATCTATGCTGGTCTGAAGGTAAATTACAGGGGTCTTTTTGTGGAGTAGGAACCTTACATCCTGAGAAAACTTAAGTCACTCCAACGCCAGCCCATGATGTTGCTAAAAATGACTATTTAACCAGTGGCTTGGTGTTTTCAGATGATTTCAGAGGTTTTGAACTTTTTTTAATTTTAACGCGTATACCCAGGCTGTGCTTGTTTGGTAGTAACAGAGAATAAAAACATCTGAGGTTCAGCTTTTACAATGAGGGATGGCGATCTGATTGATCTTGCTCTAAGGCACTGTGGGGGTGGACAGGCATAGCCAGGATCGGAAACATCTAATTGGCCGTGACACCTTTTGTCTCTCAGCCAGCTGATTACCATCCCCTAAAACCTGAATGAATTTCCTCACAGCCGCTAATGGAGCAGATATTGGAATTTTAAATGTTTCTGTTGTTTCTCTGGGTGGAAGCTAAGCCTGCAGGGAATAAACGAGGGAGGTGTGGGTGAAGAGAAGTTCACAGCGATTGTAGCAGCTGACTCCTTCCTCAGAGGTCGTGCCTTCTAAGTTATTTCACCTGCGCCTTGAATCCTCACCCTGGAAATCTCCCTACCAGCCCAGTGTTTGTGTTTCCTCTCGCCGTGTCCGTGCTCTGTAATGTATTCTGCTCTGAGAGAGGCAGAGATGACAACCCTCCTGTCCAGTCGGGCTCATCAGTAATGACCAAATTCATCATTCTTGCCGTCTCGGAAGTGACACGGCTGTTGACAAGGTGATGCAGGCTATTTCACAGTAAGCATGAGTTACTGTGTGCAGGTAGCACTAAAAAACAGGTTCCTCACCCTCCTATCTCTCTCTCTCTCTCTCGGTGTTGCATTGTCCAAGTAATCATCCAAAAAGCTCCTAAATTCTTTGACAGAGATAGAGCGCGGCTCTGGCTTTGCCACTTCCATTCATTTTCTATTAATATCGGGTGATTCCCCGAGTGGACAGAAAGCCATGTTAGAGCCAAGATTCATTTGTCTGCACCTGCAGTTTATCTCCATAAACACCCCTCACAAGGAGTCCCCAAACTACACAATTCACAACCACAGGTGGCGGAGGAGCATCAAGGGCATCAAGACAACGTGAGAGCTATTATATCCCATCTAATAATTTAATAGAGTCCCTGACGTTACAAACTAAATCCTCCCTGCAGATTCAAATCCACATCAGCAGATGTTGTAGTGATGTGCATTTAGTCAGATGACATCCAGAGTTGCTGTTTGCTATCTGCACGGTTATCACCTTTGTTATATTTTCCCTCATTAGCTGCCCTGCATGCGGTCTTTCTTGCAAACCGTCTCGCATCCTTGACTTTTACAACATGCAATAAAAACGGCACCTCTACAACACCTGTTTCATAACCACAGATCAAAACTGTGGGTATTATAGATTTAAACAGTGCCAATAAACAATTATATAAATAATAATTAAAAAGTGAAGCTGTAGTTACCCAAACCATTCGTGTTGCACTCAATCGTCCTGGCTTGATTTAGAAGCGCAGCCGGATGGCCAATAAAGTCCCCCCCCCCTCCTCCTACTCCTTTAACGTCGATGATGAACCGATAAAAGTGTCACTGTCCGGGGTTTTGGTCGCTCTCAGG